ATAATAATAATAATAACAATAATTTATTACAATTATAGTTTCAAACAGTAAAGTTTTGCCCCGAATAGGATTTGTTCCTAGGATTTCTGTTCGAGTCCTGCACGTGAGCCCACGAGTCTATTTGAATGTTACTGTATAATTATACCCCTTGCAGTACGTCACTAAGACATAACACATGATTTGTAGGACTGGAATAATAAAATCGACTATCTGAGCTATACCACGAACCGTTGTGTTAGCTTTACGACAATTTAGGGGTATTTGTGTTTATTTTAATTAAGTGTAATTGCATTGAATGTAGACATTTATGTAAGCTGTTAGTACTCCCCCAGAACCAGAATCTCGTCCACAGCGAATAGTGACATTCATTCTCGCTAAAGAACAAACATAGTATTCTGTGTAGTCTCAGTGATTTCTGTACGCGGGTGATTTTAGACATAGAAGCTTAATTAAAAAGTATTTAGTTTGGAATGTATGGAAAATAAGTTCACAATGTGTACGCTTCAACTAATATCTTGAGAGTGCTTTTCATGAAAGAGCCGAACTTTACGTTATATATAGAGAAAGAAGTAATACACTTCTTGCTTAACCCCATAGAAAGGCGTCAATTGGCAGACCGAGATGCAGACGGGAGATTAATATTAATCCTAGAAGTGTAGATTGTGGAGATGTAAAATGATTTGATCTATCTCCGGATAGGATCCATTGTCAGGTTTTTGTTAGAATGTATCACATTTGGTGTCATGACAACATGAGTGTTGACACTGAGATGCCTGGAAAATCGGCCGGGATACATAGGCTGCGGTTTGGGGTTTTCCTTTCCTGTGCACTAAAAGGAATGGATTACGACTGTTAAGTTTTGTTTGTTCTAGATAAACTCTTGAAGTGTGAACGAGCAAAGGTCCGTACGATTTGAGACAAGGCTGAATATCTGTAGTTCCTTGTAATAAACAAGTTATGTTCACAGAGCCGCACGTTTCGCAAAACTTCCACGACGCTAGTGATAAGTCTAACGCTGTTTACTAAAGGAGGTAGACGCTTCGCTCAACAGTCGACCAGTTTGTCTTTCATACAGGTCTAATTCGTTCAGACTGCAATAATATTAGAAAGTAAAGTTTCGTTCGTGAGGAATTGAAGAGACAGATTACGTGAGTTGTGGAATACAGGGTTCTTATCTTTGTTGACCGGTTCAAGTCTCTACGCTTCACGGCGACCGGCGCATTGCCGGCTGCCAGGCGCGTACGAATTTTTCCGATGAATCAATATGTCTGTTGACCGATAACTTTTGGAATGAAGTAGTTGCAATTCACAGATCACAGGAGATGTTGAAAATGCTGCCCCTCTACACGTACACATTTCACTCATCGGCGGAAGACGTTCTGATGTACCCTTTGTAGATATATGTATGCAATTTCCCTACGAATATTTTCGCTTAGTTCTTCTTTTGTTCTGGGGTCACTGTTGTAAACTTCGTCCTTCGGACAACCCCAGAAGGACAGAGAGGGTGAACGTTCTGGCCAGACACCACTGCTGATAATTCTGTTCTTCAATACATCGGACATAACGTGCAGTGTGGCCAACAGCCGAGTCTTGCTGAAACTACCCATAGAGCCTGTCTTCTTCTGTTAACTTGGGAAAGAATTCCCCGAGATGACATGTACATATCTTTCGCAGTTGTTTAATTAAAACAACTGAAGTCCAGCAATCCTTGCACTTACAGCACACCAGACACACACTGGGTTAGATGTGGATTCTGTGAATTCCAGTATCGATTATTTTGCTTATTTATATATCCGTGCAGTTGGCGCTTCATCAGAAAAGAATGCCAATTACCGATCGATCTCACCGACGACAGGCTATAGAAACCAACTGCAAAAATGAACCCTGCTAGCTGGATCGCGCAGCTGCAAGGCGTGGATTACGGTTGTTTATAGGGTGTAATCTTCAGCAGTTCTGTTTGCCCCTTTTTCGTTAGACTCTGACACTGTCTCTTGAGCTAGACGTTCAAGTGATTTTATAGGTGTGCGTTCAAATCTGGCTCCTATGTTATCTTACTTTCCCCAGTAAATACCCGGCGCTTGGTATTTTGTTTTTTGTCTATTAAGAGTCCCGTTGATCTAAGTCTATTCAGAAATTATTATTGTTTGCCTGCTGGGAACTGTTTCATCACGAAATTTACGTTGAAATTTTCGCCATTTCTTTCTAGAAAATTCTTAATGTATACCGTGCTGTGACGGAACACACTGCTTTGTAATTATAACTGAGAACAAACGGCTAATGGAGCTGCTAACTGCCGGCCGCTGCTGACAAATCATAAACAAATTCCCACGCATGAACCGCACTGCTCGCCGTGAAACATAATGCCGTCAAACGGTCCACAGATTTATTAACTTCCTTTAATTCCAAACTTTAATCAGCCATCGGGCGTAGAGATGCAGCGGCAAAATTTATATGCTTCTCGCGGCCGGCTGTGCACCGGTAGCCGTGAACCGGTCAAGAAAGGTATGAACCTCGATGTATTTAATTGGGGCAGCCTTAATGCTCGTAATGTGTAAATGATCCTGAAACAGATGTTCACGATGTAGCATTTATGGTCCTCACAGCGGTGGTTATGAAGAGTTCTGTCTTCTGAGATATAACGCCGTGTAATTCGTTGAAAGGCAACCCGCGTTTCGGAGGAATATGTCGTTTCCATCTCAGGATCGAAAAAGCCGAACAAGGTATCAGCGTGAAAAGTGGCTCTGCTTGTCACCAGCTTTCACGCTGGTGTCTTGCTCTGCTTCGATCCTGAAGATGTAGGCGACATATTCCTCCGAAACGCCGGTTTACTTTCAGGGGACTATGCGGAGTTATGTCCTAGAAGATGGAACTTTTCAATTTGATGTTACGCCTCTGCTCACGCTGTTAGATTGTGTAAAAGTAGTTTCCTCTTCCCGGTGTAAATGCTGTCTGAAAATTAATTCAGCAAGGTCTCGTTACATTTGTTTATGGGTTGTGCGATTGGCCATTTGGGATTGATACGAAGAGACTGCCGCATCTGTTCCGAAGTTTAGCCAGTGTTCGAAACAGTAACATCGTGACCGGATCAAGTTATTAATCCTACAAACACATAACTGTTGTGGGCTATCTGAGATCGGATATTGGCCGCTGGATTTCTGCTACTGCGGCCGCGTAACTTCATATAAACTGTCCAAGTACCAGGGAGTGAACTCGCTATTGGTTGGTTTGCATGAATGTAAATGAACCCGCCTTTTTTCCTTGTATCGCTTTTTATGTATATGTAGTTGTGTAGAATTTTCCTCGAGTCGCGGATGTACGTATATACAAGGGGTTCCAGAAAATGTACTCACTCTTTGATAGTCAATATATTTGGAACAAAATGACATATACTGTAGTTACAATTCTTGCGCGGTAGTGTAGTGTAATGTTTTCTCAACAGATGGCGAAGGTCACACGTCACGTGAGTGTCGTGCCGCGTGCGCGCTGCAAACAGAAGACAGCAACAATGGCTGAAAGGTTGTTCTTTGAGCAACGCAAGGCAGTATTGAAGTGGTCCTGGACGAGACGCAATTCAAAATGAACGATACTGTTAACTGCCACAATTGTGTGTATTGGGCTCATGTAAATCCACACTTTCACGTGGGCAAGGAAGTGAATCTACCGGGTGTTAATGTGTGGTGTGGTCTGTCATCGCGCGGTTTGATTGGTCCTTTCTTCTTTGAAGGTGCCGTAACTGGTCAGGTGTATCTCGGTATGCTTCAGACATGATTTTGCCTGCCATTCGAGAACCGTTTGGAGATGATAAATTTTAGCAACAACAAGACGGTGCTCCACCTGACTACCATCGAGATGTCAGGGCGTACTTAAATAACACTACCTAGACGATGGCTAGGTCGAAGAGGTGCTATTGAGTGCCCACCACGGTCTCCAGACCTAACACCTCTCGACGTCTACCTATGGCGAACCATGAAGGATGAAGTTTATCGACAAAAGCCAGCTACACTGAACGCGCTACGAGAAACCATCGAAGCGACGTGTGCAGCCATCACACCGGACACACCGACAGCCGTAGTTCGCTCAACAGTTCGGCGGCATCGACGCTGTTTAGCCGCTGATGGTGGTCACTTCGAACACATACAGTGACTCTCTCTGCGCATGTCATTTTGTTCCAAAGATATTGACTATCAAAGAGTGAGTACATTTTTTGGACCCCTCTGTAAATGTTGCGTTCGTCAGATGTTCCTTAAGAATTGGAAACGAGTTGGGATGTGGTGCGTCCCAAAAAAGTTTTGTAGAACATACTCTTCACACCATGAAACTCCATCACATCGTAGTCCTGTAGCGCAGTGTGCATTGACGTTTATAAAATAGAATTTAAATTATACGTTCATTGATTGCAAGAGAACTTTGATTTAAGTAAAATGTGATCGATACATTTCGTGAGTCACAAATCGTCAGTTCGTGCACAGGGGTGTGAGAAAGCGGGACACGCATCCATTCTTCGGCCCACCCACAAGGTCTGGAGCTGGGATAGCGACTGGCTACGGGCTGGACAACCGAGGGGTCGGATTTCGAGTCCCGGTAGGACAAAGAATTTTGTCCACATCGTCCAGACCGGCTCTGGGGTCCGCCGAACCTCCTATCCACTCGGTACCGGGCGTTCTTTCCCCGGAAGTAAAGCGGCCATGGCGTGAAGCTGACCACTCACTTCCAACTAGTGCCAAGTTCAGGAAAATGTAGATCTATACATCCTCTTCCAATACGCCTTCATAGCGTAGTGCTTAATTAGTTAAGCACAGAGACGACTTTACCTTCTACCCACCAAGTCTTGCAGGAATTGAGATTGCTTATTACTTCATTGGTCCGCTTGTGCACAAGATCGCACAGATTGCACTGTCAGTCAGCATCTTCTGAGAAAAACACGTATATTGAACAGTGAATGGACACTTCGCCAGGGGATCACTGCTTGCGGATTGTAACGTGTTAGTTTTCTGTATTAGGTTATCGCGGTCACATCCTTCGGAAATGAAATTCCGTCATGTACAGGTGTAGCAGCTCTTCTGTGGAACGTTGAAAGCAGAAGTGACTGGAGTGTGCATGTAAGATTGGTGTAGAGGGTTATAAGTGGTATGATGCAGAACACCGGCAGTAACACCTCTGTGGTGACAAGTAACGGCAGCTGCGGCGGAATATCTACACCAGCCCCTCGAGGGGGCGGTGGTACAACGATTTCGGCCGCCGCAACTCCAGGATCCTACATGTACACCAGCAGCTCCAGTCTACTCCGCTCCTCTACGGGCGAAAAGGCTGTTCCCAGAGCTGTGCCTCCGCCCACACTACCAAAGTACACTGGAGGATCCTCGTCCTTCAGACTAGCGAGTCTCGACAGACTGGCCCATCGCCAGAGGCAGTTCGACCAGCAACAAGGAAGCCTGGTCACCACCCAAGTTAATGGAGATGCCTCAGCCATAACAAGTCCGTCCCAGCAGCAGCAGTCGGCGGTAAGTCGTCACGTGCGTTTCAGGTGGCCAGTGGCCTCCGCTATCGTCATTTGTCTTCCTGTTTGTGTTCCCCCTCTGCATCAGCTCCTGAATGCCTGAACCAGTCTTTATGAAACTTGGTTTGTGTCTCATGGCACCTCAGCCCATCTCTCCGTCAGTCTGTGTCTGCATATCTTGTTAGGCAACGGATACACATGCAACAATAGACGAATTGTTGGATGCATCTTTTTCTGTGTGGCTCATGTATCAAAGGAAAGTAGGAGATCAACGCTAGAACTTTTGTTATTTCTAGTATACGAAATGCAGCGAAAGTACTGGTATTCAGTTTACAGAGGCAAGCATGGGTTAGAAATATAGTGATTTTATAATGTAATTTGGCGTATTCTGTCGTCAGAGCTCCAATACGCTGTATCCATATTCGGTTTAAACACGCCCACCATAACCGGTATTGAAGTTTCAGGTTGAATGTCCGTAAAGGCGCGTCCACACTACTTCAGTTGCTCGCCAGGGTTCGGCGCGTGAGGATCCGTATATTTACTCGTAGTGTGTATAGGCTGTAGTGTTTTAATTTATTGGCTATAATTTTTAAATTAAAAATTAAATATTTGCTTGTCTCGTGACTTGTCATATCGTCCACATTACTCGCGAGCATAGCGAGTCACACGAGCACGAGTAATGTGGACGCGCCTTTAAATGTTATACCTGTACCCGCCACTGAACAGATTTCTATCAAATTTGGTAGTGGAGCCTACATTGGAAGTTTTCGACAGAATTTGTCGTTAATTGTGGTACTTACACTATAACTGCTGCAGTATTTGAGTCTCACCTCATAATCTTAGGCGTATATATATGTATGAGGTGTAGGCCACAATCCGGTCCCTGCACCGCGACCAACAATGATCCATTGTGCTTCCCTTTTAATCCAACACTTTGAATGAGATGCAGGGCCCTATTTATGGGGGCGTCACAGTAGTCACTAGGTTCCATAAAGAACTGGCCCAAGTGACGAAATCTTAGATGAGCTGTGGCCTCACAATCATAGGATATGTCAGAGTCTTGGGTACTCATCGTTCAAGAAATTGGTACTCTGCTTCAGTGATTGTTGGTCTTCTGCATCTGAGTCCCACTGGTCCCCCCCCCCAAAAAAGATAAAAAGATTAATACCACTGGAGTTATATAGAAACCCGCCTTTGATCGTAAGCCACTCCAGTTCAGGCCAATACGACTACACTCTTTCTCTGTAAAATCCATCTCGATATCCACCTGTCCAAGCATAGGTCCCCCACTGGTCTCTTGCAGTGTGGTTTTCTCGCCAAAATTGTGTGTGCGTTCCGTAAGTTTTTTATTGCTAGTGGGGTGGGATTAAGTCCCTTGTACTGCGACCACTTCTGGCCTATTGTACCAGCCCCAGATGATAGGTGAAGGTGATCGTGGAGCAGTTGGTGGAACGAAGGCTGACAAGGGAAACCGAAATACTCGGAGAAAACCTGCCCCAGCGCCACTTTGTCCACCACAAATCCCACTTGACGAGACCCGGGATCGGGAAGCCAGCGACTAACCGCTTGAGCTATGGCGCGGCCCTGTGTGCGTTCCGTAAGACCCGCCCATAGGATTCTCGGTTTAATTGCCGTCACGATATTAGGGCCTTTACGTCACAACGTCGCCAGTTATCTTGAAACTTCTGATAGGCAGTAAAAAGGGAAGTTAATCCTGTACTTGCTTATGTAATTGAGTATTATGCCATGAAGGTGTAGGGGGAGTTGAGGTCTAGCTCCGTCATTTTTGAACTCGGCACGAAATGGAGATGAGTGGTCAGCTGGACGCACCTTTCTCATTACCCACGGGGATAGGGCTCCCTATACCCATGGGCCACAGAGCCGGTCTGGACGCTGTGGAGAAGATAGGACTCTCTTACCCTGCCGGGGATCAAACCCCCTTTGTCCAGCCCGTCCCTTAATCGTTATCCCGGCTCATTGTGGCAGGCAGTATGTAATGAAGTCTTAGATATCTTTCCTTGAAGAAGCCTGTGTTCTTCTCGGCAAATGACTGATGTACGCAGTCTTAAACGGCAGTTGTATGTGCTGATTTGCGCGACATACGTATCAACATGTGCGCAGTTGGATTACAGACGTGAAGGAATTCATAATAATGCGTTCCTGAATACCGTCAATAGTTGTTAGGACCCAAGACTGACGCTTTGAATTTTCAAAAGGTCCATATGTGTACTAGTTTAAACACTACGAACAAGCAGAGCATAAGAAAAATGTATAAAATATTTACTAATTACGGAGAAGAGTAGTGGAACTACTATTTGGGAGGTCTTCTCTTCGAATCTGTTGCCGCAGAATCCATCAGAGTCTTCCCACGGACGCTTTCTCCCACATCGCACGTACTCTGCATGACAGCGCTCTAACCAACGCGTGGGGGGTATTCAGTCAGACCGCCTTCTCACAGTACAGGTTTTCGTGGCTTTGACCAACGCTTCCAAACAAACTTCAGGATGGTGATATCAGCCTAAGGCCACTTCTCTCACTCCTTCCTTTTTTCATTCATGACTCTTTACGTCTCGTTCGACGCTCTGTAGCACAGTGGCGCTGTTAATGACCCACGAATCTCTCTTAGGCATCAGTCGACTGCCTCTGTGGTCTAGAGGCCAGTCCTGGCCACAGATCCAGAGGTCCGGATTCGATTCCCGGCACTACCAGATTTTCTGAGAAGTAGTGGGTCTGGAACGGGCTCCACTCAGCCTCGTGAGAATAATTGAGGAGCTCTTTCAAGGAAATAGCGGCTCTGGTCTAGAAGAACCGAAATTAACGGCCGTGGTGATTCGTTACGCTGACCACGTGACACTATTCGCCGACAAGCGTCGCTCGGTCATTCATTTCCGAAACTGTCGGAAGAGCATCACATGTTTAGTTACTTTGCAACTTACGAAAAGATTGCTTCGGATATTCTGCTGCTTTCGTGATTGCAGTGTTCCAGGGAGTCGCAGAACTGCTTCATTCCATTGACAGCACCCTCTCATTTTATCGGTACTGATAATTGTTCATTACGTTGACAGGTGTTGGCTTTATTATAACAGTTTTATGTTTGGAAGACTACGTTTTGCTTGCTATTTGGAATTCTGCAGTCGGCGGCTTCGACTTTTGGGAATACTCCGCTTAAAATGTTTTCAGCGTTTCAACAGCCGTTTCATTTGCCTTCTTCAGGGTTAGATATCTGCATTGTGTGCGGCAGTTGGAAAACAATTTGCCCGGCATTTTCCATAATTCCGAAATGTTGCATTTAACTTCGACCGCAAAACTTCTAAGACAAATCGACTTGATTGAAATCCCGCATTATCTAATCAAACAGTTCTCTTTAAAAGTTTCCCATCCCTGGATTTCGTTTTCATTGAAAATAACCTGTCCTGCAGTTTCTTAGATATCTGAAAACGTAATTAATAAGTTCCCGTGAACATACGAAACAAAATAACACAGTTCTGCTAAAAAATGTCTGAAAATATTGTTTTGACAGTTCGAGCCAATCAAAACAGTGGGGGTTCTTCACGGAAGCATGGAATTTTGTCGCTAGTGTTCGGACGGTTTTAATATCAATAGTGTCACGTGTTTCTAGCCGTAATAACATCCATGGGTACCAGTCTCCGTGTCGGATACGTATTGTGCGGTAGCAGCCTGTATCATATACTGTTCTCGAAACCCATCCGAGTGAGAGAAACGCTGGATAGGAGGACCCGCGAGCGTAGGAAGATGTTATCTACACATACACGTATACTGTACTGTCCGTTTTTGCTTCTTCGTGCATAGGCGTGTGGAAATTAGAGACACATTTCCTCGGACAGTACGCAGTTCAACATTTCCAGAGGGAAGCGATATGCTTGTCTGGTCTAAGCCGAGTCCAGTTTCCATTCGTGCATGAAGCTAAGCTCACAGTACGCGCGTCACAAAGAGAGGCGCGTGCTGCAGTAATATTCCCCTCTGGTTGCACTTTTGATTTGCCAGACGCCAAAGCTTGGAATTTCTCGACTTTATACAGAACTATTGAAGATACAAATAAGAAAACCGTGATGACACAAGAAACTGCCACGCTTTTGGCTCGGTTTCAGACGGAAAGCCAGCACAAAATATTTGGTAATTCCCGACAACTTGAGTTTCATTAAATGTGGGAACCAGTCGCCGCCACGGAGTCTCATGTGCAAGAAGAGTTGTACCGCCCCAGGAGGTTTCAGTTCTTGCACTGAATGATAGGGACCTTTACAGATAAAGCAGCGTGAATCGGTCTCCAGAACAAGTCAGCGTTTAGATTCCTTATGAAAAACTGACTGGCTTGACGAACTAAGTTTTCTGATAATTTCCATCAGAGATAAAATTACCCCGTTGTCGTACACAGTCGCCGAATCTACGGAGCTGCTTGTAGACTTCGGTACTCTGACTGACTCAGCCTTAGGCTGGGGCCACACGAGCGCACAAAATGCGTCCGTTGTAGAAATGAACAAGAGAGGCAAACCCTACTCTTTCTTCTGGCTCCATTGCAGACAAAAAACTTCGCACCGCATTCTACAACTGTGTGGTGTCCTCAGCAACGTCCGTCATAATGTACGTTCGGTGCAACGGACGTACTTCGTGCGCTCGTGTGGCCCCAGCCTAAATGGAACAGATGGCACGGGTGACGTCCTGTACCAAGCGAATACTGGCGTGCACTGTAAGAGCAAGTACAGTTTAACGTATTGATACTCGAGTACTTTAGGATGTATTCCCGGTGAAGTGCTGTAACACGGAACACGATAAATCTGTGGGATAAGTAGTTGACCTAAGAACAGAATGTAAAGTAACCCACAACCTAACGCCATAGCTCAAGCGGTTAGCCGCAGGCTTCCCACCACAGCGGCCCGGGTTCGATCCCAGGTCTGGTCAAGTGGGATTTGCGGTGGACAAAGTGGCGCTGCGGCAGGTTTTCTCCGAGTACTTCAGTTTCCCCTGCCCACCTTCATTCCACCAATT